TAGTTTTGAAGGCCTGTAGGTCATACATTTAAGGAAGCACCTTGTCCTAGCGGGTGAACACCTTCACCCTACTTCAAATACCCCCTAACCGACTTTCTCAGGGACTGGGAAAGGAAGTCTGCAGTGGCAGACTCCGAGGCCAGCCCTGGTCTGTTGTTTTGCTGTTTATGTTTAGGAAAGTTTTGCCTGTTTGTATACGTACATCAAATGTGTGCCAGGTGCACAGGCCAGAAGTGGGTGTTGGGAGTTACAGACGGTTGTGAGCTGCCATGTAAGTTGCTCTTACCCACTGAGTAATCCTCCACCCCCACCCGTTCTAAATTGCACTTAAATACATATATTTGAGCTCCTTTGGTCCACGATCCCCCAGCCAAGTCGGGCCCCGCCTTGCCGGTATTTGGTTATTCTGCGGGTTGGCTGGAGGAGCCGGAGAACAGCCTGCTCCTCAACCCGGTGAGGTTCCACTGGTTCCACTAGCTATGTCTCAGTGGCCTGTATTCCACACCCGCTGTGCACTCCCACTCTCTGGCCCCGAACTAGGTGGTTAACGACCTTAGTTAGACTAGTTGAAAGACTGGGGACTTGACTACTGAATTTCAGAGGACCTCAAGGCGGGCCACCCTCTGCCTTGGCCAGGCCACGCCCACACCGCCACCCTCCCACTTAGCCGAAAGGGTGGCACCCGATTCCAGCCTCGCCCCCCGACGTCACGTCCAAGGCCAAGGGGCGGGCTTGACTCTCTGCGGAAGCGAGAGGCTAGACCCAGGCCCAAGCGGAGCTCTCTGGGACCGCTGGGGACTAGCAGGTAGCACCGCCGCCCGCGGGGTCTCCAGTACGGTCGGTCAGTGGGAAAGGGGCGCTGGTTGCCAGAGGCTCAGCTGGCGGGAGCGGGTATCCGCTGGAGGAGGGTGCTGTTGATACGAGGGCGCTCAGCGAGCGGGGCTGGAGGTCTCCTGGGGAGGGGAAGCTATAGATACCCTGGTCACCCAGCTGTCGGCGTCCACATCTCCTGGCTGAAGGGGACCTTAGATCCCCAGACTCGCTAAGCTGGCAAGGTCTCTGTTTCCAGGTTGGAGGGGGCCCTGGGGTTGCTGGGTGCGGGCTCGGGAGTCGCACAGCTGAGGCGACATGGTCTCTAGTTTGACACCTCGTCCCGCGCTCGGTCAGGATGGGCAGCAGCTCGCTGTCAGAGGACTATCGCCTGTGCCTGGAGCGCGAGCTGCGGCGGGGCCGCGCGGGCGTCTGCGGCGACCCCTCGCTGCGCGCGGTGCTCTGGCAGATTCTGGTGGAGGACTTTGACCTGCACGGGGCGCTCCAGGACGACGCGCTGGCGCTCTTCACTGACGGCCTGTGGGGCCGTGCTGACCTGGCGCCTGCCCTACACGATCTAGCCCGCGCCTTCGAACTCCTGGAGCTGGCCGCTGTGCACCTGTACCTGCTGCCCTGGAGAAAGGAGTTCACCACCATCAAGGTATGGTTCGGTGACGTTCCTCCACTCCCTTCCTTGTCCAGGCTGTTGGGGGCTGCCGGTCCTCTTGTGGGGAAGAGTTCCGTGTTTTAAGGGTCGTGGGCGTGTTGGGCTGCATGCCTACCAGGGAGTCATTCACCTAAAACTTACATTGCTGTCCTCAAAGTAGTCTCACTGCCCTAGTTGCTATGGGAATCCTAGGATAGACGTGGGAGGGTGAGGGAGGTACTTGATGTCCTATGGTCATCCTAACTCCCCCAGGATGTGGACTGATCCCATCTGTAAGGAGGCCACTAAGACTAGGAAGAAAACAGCAGGCCAGGGACTGGAGCACAGACCTTGTTCCTGCCTGGGTCTAGGTTGGGCGGCTAGGTCCAGGGCTGGCCTGGTCCTTTGGTCAGCTGATGGACCACCAAGAGGGGGCAGGGCCGCTCTGAGCTGATTTTGAGTGGGAAGGCAATGACGTCAGTGTGCACGTGGGCGAGGTAAACCTCCACTGGTTGTCATGGCAGCGTCTCCCCCTCCACACCCCTTTCTCTCCCCAACCCACTAGCCGGCTGCTCCATGGGGACACCTGAGATCCTGGAACTTTCATTCATCCTTTCAGGCTAGAGGCCCGCCCACCAGCCCCAGAGGACAAAGGCAGACAAGCTTGGTCTTGAAATAGGCTCGTTCTGGGATAGTGCTGGGATGGAGCTTGTGCGGGTTGTCTCCTAGTCGTGGGTTTTAGATAAGTTACCTACACCCTTGATGCCCTTTCCTCCTAAGAGGCCATGAGATCAGTCAAGGTACAAAGCCCTAAGAAGGGTGCTGTGGCCAGTGTCTATTGTCCATGACCTCTTCCTAAAGGTTCTATGCGGGGGAAGCGCCCCGAGGATGCCTAGAGCTGTAGACTTTCTTTCCCATTTGGTAAAGACTCAAAATTACCCGGATGCTTTGACTCCACATGTAGCTTTGACCTAGAAAGCACATTCCCATCTGTTAAGTGTGGTCCTCTCACGCAGCTGCATATTAGACTCTGGAATACTCCACAGCAAGGGGCAGTGAAGCCAAAATGCCTGGTCTGATAGTTATAGATCTCCAGGATTCACCGGGTGCAGTGGAATACTCCTGTAGGCTGAGGCAGAACAGTGAGTTTAGGGTCAAGCTGTTTCAAAATCAAAGACCTAAAGAGCCTGGCAGTGATGGCACAGGCCGTTAATCCTAGCACCTGGGAGGCAGAGGCAGGTGGATCTCCGAGTTCCAGCCCAGCCTGGGCTACGGAACAAGTTCCAGGACAGTCAGGGCTACACAGAGAAACCCCATCTTGGGGTGGGGTGGGGGGGCTTAAAGGGATAGGGGATATGGCTCAGTGGCACAATGCTTGCTTACCACAGACAAGGCTTTAGGTTCTCCCCTAGGGGGAAAAAGATCCAGGCTCACTCCAGACAGATGAAAACAATCTCTGGGGTGAACACAAACTTCAGAAGTGGACCAAGGTCATGGCAATACTGAGTCCACATAGGCTGCACCCGGGAACCTCCACGGAAGAGCATTCCTGACCAGGACCCTTCCTTGCAGACCTTCTCAGGGGGCTATGTGCATGTGCTGAAGGGTGTACTCTCTGAGGAGCTCCTGACTCGAAGCTTCCAGAAGATGGGCTACGTGCGCAGGGACAACCACCGCCTAATGGTGACCACCCCACCCCCTGCCTGCCAGCTGGTTCAGGTGGCCCTAGGCTGCTTTGCTCTTCGGCTGGAGTGTGAGATCCTAAGCGAGGTGCTGACCCAGCTGGGCACAAGTGTGCTACCAGCTGAGGAGCTGCTCCGAGCGCGTCGGGCTAGTGGGGATGTCGCCTCCTGTGTGGCCTGGCTGCAGCAGAGACTGGCCCAGGATGAGGAGCCACCACCCCTGCCCCCCCGGGGCACACCTGCTGCTTATGGGGCCCCCGTGGACCTGTATCAGGACCGGCAGGAGGATGAGAGCTCAGAGGCCAGTCTGTATGGTGAGCCCTCTCCAGGGCTGGACTCACCCCCCGTGGAACTGGCGTACAGGCCACCACTCTGGGAGCAGAGTGCCAAACTCTGGGGTCCTGGGGGCCAGCCCTGGGAAACCCCCGCTGATGATCTACGTCGGGCCAGCAGCCCACCATATGGGGCTCTGGAAGAGGAGCTGGAGCCGGAACCCTCTGCGTTCTCCTTCCTCTCTCTGCGCCGTGAGCTGAGTCGGTCAGGGGACCTAGCTACCCCTGAAGCCCCTGGCAGCTCTGGGCAGGCCAGCCCCCGTCACAGGCAGGCAGAAGGAACACCAGCCTCAGGCTATGGGCCTGTTGTTGAGCCTCTGGGCTACCAGGCACACAGCTGCTTGAGCCCTGGGAACCTGCCCACCCTCTGCTGTGACACCTGCCACCAGTTACACGCTACCCACTGCACTGCCCTATCAGCCTGCCGCCCAAGTCATTCATTGCGCATACTTCTTGGTGACAACCAGAGACGCCTGTGGCTGCAACGTGCACAGGTGGATACCCTGATGTATGACAGTCCTGGAGCCCATCCCTAGGCCCGGATGGACCCCCAAGACAAGAGTCTGGGGAGATAGTTTCCATGGTGCTTCTTTTGGGAAAGGGCCTGGGCCACTGGCTACCCTGGCCCTCCTATTCCCCAGGGGAGTCCAGTACCTACAGTTGGAAGAGGGTAGAGCCTTCATGGACTGCTCTTGCCTGGGGCCTCCGGCCCTCCTCACTGACATGCCCATGTCTCAGTCCTGTCTAGAGCAGGCCCTGTGATGAATCAACAAGATCCTTCCCTCATGTCCCTATCTTTATGCCCAGATGTGTTGGGTAAAGAGGTCCAGGTTGTCCAGGCTACAGTACCCAAGCTCACTCCAGGAAGGACCCCACTCTGAACTGTCTGAACCCGCTCCCTGCAGTCCGTGGTTCAGGATGCGCCCCTCTCTCCGTGTGCTGAGAAATCTTCACCCAGAGGCTTGCCCAAGGGCCCGCAGACACCTGGGTTAGATTGGGACCATGTGAGAGGCTCCGACAGGGCCCAGCTCCCTCAACTGTGGAGCACCTTGCTAATCCCTGCCGTTAGTGAGGAACCCTGCCAAAAACAGGCAGTGAGAGGAGCTGTCACCCCCAAATCCAGAAGAAACGGTTCTCAACAACCAGCTGCCTACCAGCCAAAGAGGGGGTGAGCATGTACAGGCGACCCCTTGGGCTACTGCCGAAAAGCAGCTCACTGCCCCATGCAACTCCTTGAAGGCACACAGGTAACCAGGAAGATCCAAGTTACACCCTCTTTTCCCTTGGGGTAGCCCAGGGCCCCTCGCTGGGGTCCCTAAACCAGTAATCCACAGGCTAGTGATAGCAAAGGCCTGGGTTTTCATCAACCACAGGGAGGCCCAGGTACAGCGATTGCTGACCTGCAACACCTCCTCTCCTGGCATCCCTCGGCCATGCCTGTTCCTATCCTCACTCCCTGCCCCTCGGAAGACACTGTCCATGTTGCATGGATCAAAACCCCAGAGAACATTAAAGGATTGTGAAACTGTCTATTGGAAAGGCTTTTTATCTCTCCACCCCTGGAAAAGGGGCCCACCAATTCTTCCCCTGGGTATCAGCGCCAGTCACGTCCACCAAGGGCTCTCATTCTGACAGTCTTAAAAGTATCCTATCATGGCCCCAACCAACACTTGCTGCCTCCCTCCCTCCCACCTGAAGCCCACCATCCCTGCCCAGGGTCACGATAGCCTGTCTGTCCCGGGCATCTCCTGGTGACCAAGCAGGAACAGCACGGTCTCCTGGGCCTGCTCACTCCAGGCTAAGGCCCAGCTCCAGTTCCAGCACTCCACTGATGCGGACCTTTAGGCCGCTCAGCACTAGCCCTGCCTCCCCAGAAGCACAGCTTCACTGACAGACGAGGCTGCCACGAGTAGCTGCCCACCAGATGGCGCTACAACAGTCCAGTCTGAGCTGTGTGTCCCCAGTCGGCAACACCCCTGTCCACAATCTACTTGCGTCTGGGCACAGAGGGTAGCAGGGAGGAGTCATCTGAAGATGTTGGCTGGAGGGGCCGAAGGCATCTTGGCCTGGAGGGCCCTCCCAGTCTGCCGACTGCTCCATGAGGATGTGTAGGGATGGGCTGGACCCACCATCAGGGCTTGCATCGTTTGCTCTGCCCCTCAGCGGCAGCTGGGGCGGCACGCTTATTGCGGTGGTGGGGGAAGGTGGGCATGAGTTCCGGTTCGCAGGCTGCAGGAGAAGGAGCGCTTCAGTGCTGGCTTGGAGAAGGGGTTCCTGGTGGGGCATGCTCCAGGTCTAGATGGGACTCCTCACTTCAGCTAGCCCTGACCCTCATCTGCTCCCTTTCTTCTCCCCCGTGGAGTCTGCCCACGTTCCACCCACACAAACCTGCACTGGGAACCCACCCGATATGGGCAAACAGGGCTTCCTGTCAAGCCCCAAAAAGGAGAACCCAAGGAGATCTGCAGCACTCACGTAGGGGCTTCTCTTTGAAGTAGGAGCTCTCCAGACAGTCCCCCGCAGTTGCCCTAGAGAATGACAGTGACCTTTGGCTTCAAAGAAGCCTATTTCACTCAAAGCACAGCCAGGCACAACAGCCCAATTCAACCTCCAACAAATGGAGGCTGGAGGCCTAGGAACTGACAGGCAGCTCAGAATGGACACCTGGCACTTATGGGAAGGCATCTGCTGTCTATGTTGTGAGAAATCATCTATAAAAGTTTTGGCCGGGTGGTGGTGGCAGTGGCGCACCTTTAATCCCAGCACTCGGGAGGCAGAGGCATGTAGTGGGTAACCATTCCAGCTTTGATCTGGAAGTTCCAACCCCCATTGAGACTCTGGCAACTGTCACGCCTACGAGGCGGGGCCAGGGGAGGCGCCTGGAGACCCGAGATCTGGATGGGCGAGCGCTCTCAGTTCCGGGACCCTGGCCGGTGGAGGTTGACTGAGCAGAGCTCCAGAGAACACCGCTGGACTGCGATACACCTTCCCCAGACCCCTGCGATCTACCTATCCCTTAATTTGTGAGTTACGCCATTAAATAAATATCCTTTTAACGACATGGAGTGGCCTTAATAATCTTAATAATTTCACCAATAGAGGCAGGTGGATCTCTGTGAGTTCAAAGCCAGCCTGGGCTACAGAGTGAGTTCTAGGAAAAGTTCCAAAGCTACACAGAGAAACCCTGTCTCAAAAAACCAAAAAAAAAAAAAAAAGGTCTGTTGAATTGAGATGGCTCCGTGCTGGAGTGATTGCCTGGCATGTATAAGGCCAGAGTTTCCCATACTCCACACCACAAAAAGATGAAGGATCTGGGTTTAAGTTTGTCCTTCCACCCTGAAGTCAGGGCCCTCTCCTCCTGAGGGGAATGGCCCATGGAGCTGCCTATAGGAAGGGTCTGTACCTTTTCTTAGGGTCATACATGAAGAGGAAATTGAGCAGACGAAGTCCGGCCTCTGAGAGCCACGGGAACTTGTGCTTGAGATTGTTGTAGGGCTGTTTCCTCAAGCTATACTGGCCAGCCAGCGGCAGCTTGGAAAAACCCTGCAGGAGACAGGGGCTAGAGCTACAGGGCCACCAGGCATAGACAGGGACGGAGGGTGGTCCGTAATACCCACCGGCCAGATAGTCTCACTCGGTGTCCCCAGCAGCTGTACAATCAAGTCGATCTGGTGGATCTCGGAAGTGCCAGGGAGAAGGGGTTTATGGGCCAGCAGCTCTGCCAGGATGCAGCCAACAGCCCTGCAGAAGCAGCCAATCTCTGCTTACCCCCACGTCAACGTACTCATGAAGAAGCAGGCAAGTGGCCATGAGGCTCTCCCACCAGGTCTGCAAATGCTGCCTTGGGAGAACCTGAGTGCCAGAGGCCAGTGAGTATTCTAGCTATGTTCTCATGCTTCCCCTTAGGTTCCAAGGTAGGCTCACCACCACAGCACCAATCCTGCTCCCCCTGTCCCAGGGCTGACCTCCAGGGCCAGGTCACTTGAGGCCCCAGGAGCAGAAACCACTCCTACCACATGTCAATGCTGGTAGTCTGGGTAGTAGTTCCAAGCAGCAGCTCTGGGGCTCGGTACCTGTAGACAAAGACCCAGTTTACCTCTGGTCAGCTCCTCTTCTTCAGCCTGAGCTCCCTCAGGATCCCCAGTGGCCTGAGCAACAGGGTCACTACTCATAGCCTGGGTTACTCTCTACCCTAAGCCTGAGAGAGCCTGCATGTCTAAATTACAGGAACCAAGGGAA